TAGAGGAGAAAGGAAGGGCATGTTGAGGGGGACCTGCAGAGATCAGGGAAGCCCCCCCCCCCCATGCATGCACAGTAGACACCCAAAGACCACCTGGGTGATGGGAAGCGTGCACACATGCATGGTGGAGCTGAACTGGGGCGACGGCTGGTGTGCCCGAAGAGAGGGCTCTGTGTGCCACCTGTGGCATGTGTGCCATAGGTTCGCCATCATGGATCTAGGACATCAGAAAATAGAAAAAGGCCATTTCTTTTCCCAAATGATTAACTTTCCATCATTTGAAGGATAGTGAGTTTAACATTGATGTCAATGGTTTTGATTTCTTTTTCAAATATGCATTAGTGGTGAATATCTGTAGCTTGGGTGTAGGATGTGGGTGAAGGTTTGTTATCCAAGCTTGTAGGTTGGTTTCTGAAGGTTTTATTACCAGGGTGGGTAACAACCCTCGTGTTTTGAGAGACCATCTTGTACCAAAACATTGCAGGAATTCAGATGTCTTGAATGCAAGCCTGCAGGAGAAAAGCAGGCAGAGCTGGAGGCAAAGATAAATGCATCACCAACTTAGAGTCTTTGTGTTGCCATAAGAGATCCAGGTCCAATCCTTCCTGAATTCTGTTGACCCTTATCTGGCACCAATTTACTTGAACCGATTCATGTGTATAGCTTTGAATGACTTGTCTATACTGCAACCTAATGTGTGTTCCTAGTTCTTTGGGTGTGACAAGGACATTTTGATATTTTTCATACCCTAATGGCTACCAATGCAACATGACCTCCCTCTTCAAAAGAAAACCCAACACTGCTTTCGTGTCTCAGTGCTCAGGCCAAAGACATGGGACAATGAGGAATGTTCCACCCATTGCCATAGTACCAAATGAACAAAACTGTTGACTTTGTAGAAACAAGGGGTGCAGGATCAGCGGATGGGCAGAGACAAGGGAATCCATCTTCATATTTGTTTTCTCCTCTTTTCCAAAGATTTATGATGGCAACAATAACTCGGCTCGCCTGCTGGGTTCCTTCAGCCATGCAGAGATGTTGGGTCTTAATGTCAACAGCACTTCCAGCTCGATGTGGCTTGAATTCATCACAGATGGAAATGGCACAAATCAAGGTTTTGAGTTGCAGTTTTCTAGTAAGTATGGAGGCTGCCAACCCTGCAGCTGGACAAAAAGTATCAGGGCAGAGTTAGAATCACTGTACTGCTCCTACAGAGAAGCTGTATTTGGAACCAAACCTTTAAGGAAATTTAGTTTGCCAATTAAGGGTGTCTAGATTAAGGGAAGCCAAGCTAATGCCAGATATTTTGATGATATTTTATTTTTCATACCTAAATACTCAAAAGGAAACTATTTATACCGGCTTCGTGTAAGAGCACATTTTTCTTTACAACTTGTCTGTGTAAATATCATGGTGTTCATCTTCACGCACTTCCCCATCTTTCTATGTCTATTCTTCTACTCATATCAGGTTATTAAGCCCTCTTTTGAAAAATTACAGATCAATTACCTCCACTGAAATAAGCTACACAACAAACAGCCTTCAATACATCTATTTCAAACCAATCCATCAGATTGACTCATAAGATTCAGAATCAGCAAATAACAAGCCTGTTCTGAAGAGGAATCTATTCCTTGCTATTTTGCAGCATTTTTCTCCAGCTTCTTAAATCCCTCCCCTTCCTTGGTTCTTTTCCATTGGATGCTTCATCTTAATCCTGGCACCCAGTGGTGGGTTCCAGCCGGCGCACCCTGGTATGGGCGTACCAGTGCCTGTTGGGAGCAGCAGGCACCATTCCGGTATGGTGCTTTGGAGGGCCCATCCGCCTGAGTTCTTTACCTGTATTTGACCCAACCAGGCCATTTTTGCACGCGCATAGAGTGTACGGTGCCTATGCAATGCTCTGCTGAGCAGCTGGAGCATCACAGGCGATGCACATGCGTGTGCAGCACACATGGTGGATGCCCAGCCCCATCACAGCATACCGGTTGCAATGGGATCTGGAACCCACCGCTGCTGGCACCTTAGAAAGACTGCAAGGTTGCAAGTTCTTGAGTGCTTTTTCTCAGACTACATGCTGGAAGTTTCTAAAAGAGTTTCATCAGCCATTGACCATTAACACAACAACTGAGACAAGACTGGGATTTCTTTCTAACCAATTGTCTTTATTTCTGATTTCAGGTTTTGATTTAATCAAATGTGAGAACCCTGGTATCCCGCAATTTGGCTACAAAGTCCACGATGAGGGACATTTTGCAGGGAGCTCCGTCTCTTTCAGTTGTGATCCTGGCTACACATTACGCGGAAGCCGTGGGCTTACTTGCTTGACTGGAGAGCGAAGATCCTGGGACCAGCCTCTCCCCACCTGCGTAGGTATGACTCCTCCCTCTTGTGTGGTAGTCACTCACCAGGCATTTGGCATAGCTCCTAAGGCTGTGATGGAGAACCTATGGAGCTATCTCTACGGGCATGCAAGCCGTCACCCCAGCTCAGCTCCACTGCACATGCATGCACGCCTCCTGCCAGCCAGCTGATTTTCAGGTCTCTGCTGTGCATGCAGGAGACACATGTGCATGCGCGCAGGGGGTCGTGCGTGCATGCATGGGGGGGCAGGGAGAAGCACAGGGGGAGTGCGGCAAGCCCTCTGTTCCCTATTTTTGGTCCTAGGAGGCTGCAAGGAGGCCAGCTAGACCCAAAATGGGGCACAGGGGGAGGGCAGGGGTGGGAAGAGTGCAAGGGGGGTCACATAATGCCATGCATTGCATTATGGGTGTGGGCATATGCATACGTGGTTTCGGCACACAAAGATAAAAAGGTTAGCCATCACTGTCCTAAGGGGATGACAGACCAGTTGATTTAGCTGTGTAATTTTATGTCCCAAAGTCACCCATAGTTCTTGGAATCTTCAGGAAAATCATTGAAACGTTCATACTAAATTGATATGTTAATGTGATAAAATTGTTAAATAATTGAATGCATAGCTGAGACGTTATTGGAATGTACATTCAGAGTGCCAGGAAGGTTTTTTTCCCCCCAGAAAGCAAAGAGGCAGCGAAACTTAGAATGTCTGATATGCAGGAAGAGAGCAAAATTGGACACCCATCCACCCCCACCCCCACTCAGTTCTGACCTAGGCTTCCTTAACAAGAATGAAGCAGAGTCTGGGTCCCTGCAAAACCTCTTTCATTTACACGACTTTGAATTCCTTTCATTCACAGCAGCAGGGCTTAGCAAGCTGTCTTTCAGAGGAATGTTTATCAACATGAACCTTATCTCACTTGGCGAGTTGTCAGATAACTAGTTTCCAAATGCAGGGCAAGGCAAAACTTGGCAGAGTCTCTTATAGTCACAAACAGAACTTTCCTCTCTTGAAATGACCAAAGGAACAAATTGTTTCCTGAAAAAGCCCATTCCCCATTTGTTCCTCTTTTGTTTCCTATGGGAGGGGCTAATCACCTCCAAGGTGTGGCTTTACTCCCAAGTCAACCCTGTTTTCTTAGTTGTTCTTTTTTTCTGGCAGCTCTGTGCATGGACACACTGGGAACAGGCTCCCTGCTGTCTAACTCCCTCTCTGCCTCTGACAAGAGCCCTTGTCTGAGCTTTCCTCAGCCCTCAGGACTGCTCCATGTTCCTCCCCAATCTCCTACCTGTCCAACTCTTCTGTCAGCTCCGCTGCCCACTGGCAGGCCACAACACCTCCCTAGCAATTCACAAAATATATCTATCGTTATTGCAAGTAATTGTTTGTAGGAGAACAACAATAAAGGAACCACATGTGCTTCTTGGTGCCTGACAAATACAGTTCTAATATGAAGACTGCTTGGGATGAATTAGGGGCACAGGGTATTATCTTTACAAATGGATCAGGATCAATGGCAGGATTACTGCAGAAGATTTTCTATCAATCTTTGGACAATCTTGTCCAAATGTGCACAATAGCTTTAATTCCTTCTATTTCCTTTCCAGCATTCATACTGATGGTTTTCCCAATAACCTTCAGGCTAATGAATTGATCAGTACAAGAGGCAGGCTTTTTATCTCTTTTAGTACACATCAAGGGCACAAACCCAGCTTCCCTTTTGTCACCATATCATGTTCTCACTGTTTGGCAATAAATGAGCATCGAGAATTGTCTAGCCACTTCTTGGTTTCTAGCTCTGCTTTCAGAATTTTGCCTGGGAGTGGAATTTCAACCTTCTGTTACTCGACTGTCTGAATAAGTTGGTGCTTCGCAACCTGTAGGAGAACAACAATAAAGGAACCACATGTGCTTCTTGGTGCCTGACAAATACAGTTCTAATCTGAAGGCTGCTTGGGATGAATTAGGGGCACAGAGTATTACCTTTACAAATGGATCAGAATCAATGGCAGGATTACTGCAGAAGATTATCTATCAATCTTTGGACAATCTTGTCCATATGCGCACAATAAATGGCTGAGGTTGGGAAATACTGGAATAAATGTAGCTAAATGTCTCATGGAGATTTTCAGTCATTCAGGTCATGGTTGTCCCAAAAGTGCTTTTTCAAGAGGCAACTGGACTTTCTGGTTTTTCTTTGAAGACATTTCGCTTCTCATCCAAAAAGCTTCTTCAGCTCTAACTGGATCATGGGGAGTCAGAGCTGAAGAAGCTTCTTGGATGAGAAGCGAAATGTCTTCAAAGAAAAACCAGAAAGTCCAGTTGCCTCTTGAAAAAGCACTTTTTGGACTGGAACGGGTGATTTTTGGGGTGAGCCAATATATTCAGACCTCTTTAGAACAGGGGTGTCAAACTCATGTCATCACGGCAGCATCACATGATGTATCAGGACTTTTTCCTCCTTTGCTAAACTGTGCGTGGGCGTGGCCAGCACGTGATGCATTCGGCCTGCGGGGTGGGAGTTTGACAGCCCTGCTTTAGAAAGTGCATGCCATTTCAGTACATCCCAGTTTAGTATAATGGAAGAGACATTTTTGGGGTGGGGAAGTGGGGTGTCCTTAAGTTTCTGAAGTCATTCTGTATTAAACAAAAACAACAACAACAAAAAGACAATTTCCTCCCTACAGTATATCCTCCACCATTCGGGGTATAATCAAATTCAGGTGTTTGGCAACTGACTCATATTTATGACTGTATCCTGAGGTTATATGGTCACATTTTGCAACCTTCTGACAAGCAAAGTCAAGGGAAAGTTCGATTCCTTTAACAACTGGATTACCAATGAAGATCCAAATAGATGGTGGCAATAGGCTGACTCTGTAAAACCACTTAGAGAGGGCTGTAAAGCACTGTGAAGTGGTATATAAGTCTAAGTGCTATTGCTACCAGTGTCAGCATTCCAAATATCATGCAGAATTAAATCAGAGTCCAAGGCAGAGCTATCCTTAAAGTTCCAATTGAATAAGACAGACATGATGGCAACGAACTATGGAATCCCAAATGTGAAAACTTCCCGGGATTCCACCCAGTTGAAAGTTCATGATCTTATCCCCACACCCATAAATCCATCACATGGTCCAATCTTCTTCGGCTACCAGATGCAGAGGTGCAGAGACAAAATATGACCTTGAGCTTCTAGAAAGGAATGACAACAACACATTCCACAATTCTACTCCTTTCTATTCCCCCTCCCAATTACTACACTAATGAAACAGCATAGGAAAATAAGAGAGAGTGTGGCAGGCCGAAAATCCCAAAAGGAATATAACTGCAGGCCTGACAACCAGCTTATCAGCTGCAGTGATTCACTTAAACACTATGGCAAGAAAGGTCATAAAATTGGACAAAGCTCACTGAACAAATGTCTTGATTAATTACAGATATGTTG